AGATATTTCATTGGTAATTATATAATAATAGATTTAATTTAACACAGAATTCAGAAAGTTTAAATTCAGAAACAAATTTACACTGAAGTGATAGTGATACGTTCATTTTGATTGATCTTGACAGCCGCTGACTTGTTCCAAAATAGCATCACACACAGTAAATTTGAGAGGACCAATAGCGCAGCGCAACCGTGACGTCATAAAAACGAAGACAAAGGCGAAATTCGGACAAACAAACTTACAAGTTTACCGTCAGCAGATAACTTTCACAGCCGATAGCAGTTGATCTTAGCTTACATGGGTTATTATTGCAACTTTAAGTAAACATAATAAAATCCGTTCGTATAATCCTCGTAGCGGTTTAACAGAATGCAATGTTTGTCCGAATCTTTAAGCTATTTTTAGAATCAGTGCGCTGCGCTATTTGGCCCCACAGAGCCGATTTGGCTTTTTCAAAGTAGTGCTATTTTAGCCCAGGCTAGGGCCAAAATAGAACAATGCCATTTTAGCCCCACAGAAGGCATTTTGGCATTTTGGCATTTTGGCATTTTGGCATTTTGGAAAAATCCATATAAGGGGCTAAAACAGTCCCAAAATCAGAGCTAAAAAATGGCCCCTATACTACCGGTAGTGCAAAAATAGCCCTACTTTAAGGAGGCCACTATAGGGTCAAAATTTTTGCCCCATTTTTGAGGCCAAAACCGCCCTATCCGATTTACTATGCTTCAGTCTTCGAGCAGTAAACTTAAAAAGCAATTCTCATTAAACCATTTATTCAGTGTATTGAGATCATCTTGTAGAGAACGAGGTCAGAAAAGGTTAATTATAACTGATTAGTTGGTTGTGCCCGCACCAAGTTTAAAACTTGGATAACTTTATAATAGTCAACAAATTTATTGATTCCTACTAATATTTATCACCAAAGATTTTCCTGAAGCGAATTAGGCCCCGTCCACACGTATCCGCAAATTTTTGTATCCGCAAAWWATWWTTTGCGGATACGAAAATGTTTGCGTCCACACGAAGCGTATTCGAATCGTTTTCACCGTCCACACGTATCCGTTTTCGTAAATTTTGCGAATACGGACACAAAAATTTGCGGACACATGTGGACGCAACCCGTAACCGCAAAAAAAGATTTGCGGATACGAAAATTTCCGGATACGTGTGGACGGGGCCTAAGATGAAGTGACTAACAGCAATAACAGCACTATAAACACCCTCAGTTGGGGTATATTTTATTCTATCCTTCTAAGTGTTTTACTATGATATGTCCATCAAACAATAATACTACAAATGCCTTAGTGTTCAACGTTTTCATACAGAGATCTCTCCAATGTGTATACATTTGGAGTCACCTGGAAAAAAAAWTTGTGGGAATAACTTTAGCTTTTTGAGTTTAGATAACTCGACTATTATTAAGAGTATTGGTCGCTACGCCAACTGATATAAAGCCTTACTTTTTCCCCTTCATTTGGAAATAATTTGTACTCTTTCTATATATCCGACACCTTCCCCACTTGTCCCGTCCCGTCCGTCAGTTTTAGGCTATTTACTTTTTGATACAAAGAGCCGAAAACTTAACAGATAG